TATATATTTAAAAGATTATTAAGCTATAAGGTGGTAATAAGTATATAGAGGGGAGAGATAAGCCTTAGCTAAGGCAGCCGTATATCGGCTAGATTTTTCTTAGTAGATAATACTTTTAAAAGGCACCTCCGTATATTAGACACATATATCCTTAGAATAAGAACAAACTAGCCATACTTACCGTCTACGGCTCACAAGATGCTTACTTAGATTCCAGACCTCAGATAATAACTTTGTTAACGCCAGAAACATATTTTCGTTAGTATAGACATCTTTCGCCACCCTATTAATCTCAATGGTGGGGCATAATACTACGTTTCCAGGCATGGGACCGCCGGCATCATTCCGCCAGTACCGAAGACGAAATGCGGCCGAATAAAGGTCCGTATGATCTCCTATGCAATGGTACGCATAGCATCTCGCACTTCCCAATCCATCCTAACCCCAAGTAATTACAAGCATTTCATGTAGCTAGAGATAAAGAGGGCTATGGAAAAGATTAGAATTCGGACTGAATAAACCTCCAAGTAACAGACCAGTGGGACCACCATGAGAATTCAGAAGCCCATTAATTGCCGTCCCAAGGCACTTAACACAAAGAGTGTGCCATTGCACCGCATGCTGCAAGTCGACACATCCCATATTTCTATTAGGTATAGATCTCAAAACTCTGAGCAAAGTGGTTTCATAGTTTAATATCTACTTGGCAGCCAATACATGAGGTTGGACATTCTGTTCGGTGTCAAAGAGTCGGTGATTGGGGAGTTTCGCAAAGCTAATGATTTCGATCAGTTGATCAAGGTGATGCAATGTGATTCCATCTTGTTCAAGAAGAAGTGGTTGATAAGCATTTAGTAGAGAAAGTACAATCTATTGTTGATCATCAAGTAGTTGCGGAGCTGCGCATTGTTGAGCTGTCAATCTTAGTTGAAGAGGACGTTCTACCGCCGAAATACGATTCCACATGATGGGAACTATGTTGACCTCTATTATTACAGAGGCTATGATGGATAAGCATAGCTCACTTTTGGCCAAAATCTGATTACAAAATATCAACAGATTTCACACCTCGAAGTCATACGGTATTCCGTAGTTTCCCAGTTGCACTTTGCAGTTTTCACTTCTACACAGCGTGGTGGTGGTGGGCGCGCCAAAAACGCTGCCCTTTTCTCGCTTCTGCCCATACCCCCACCTCGTGTTTACATTTAGTTTGTTCTTCAATTCTGGGTGATCGACATTCAGGTCTCCGTTTTGGGACAACAAGGTAACGAGGCTAACTACGGAAGGTCGAAACGGGTAATGAGGGATGATAATGATAACCCCGGCATCTATGGTGACATGTTTTACAGGCGTATCCAAGCCCTTTGGGAAGGAGAAAGATTTGATGCATCAAAAGATTAGTGTATATGATTGAAAAACTTGTATCGGGAGCAATCGCTATGTTGACGGTGCTTTACACTCTGTGTTGTTGCCTTTTACCGAAGCCCATTACGGGAATACCCTACAACAAAGAAGCCATATGGTCGCTATTGGGTGACGTTTCTGCTATCTTTAGAAAGAGTCACCGGGAAATATTTTCGGCTGGATCATCCACCAGTCCCGTCGTCATGGGCCAATTTTCCAACTCTGGCTAGGCCCGTGCCAGAAGCCAACCGTCATCATCACAGACTTTCGTGAAGCACAAGATATCCTCATGCGCCGGAAAGAACTTGAAGGCGCTTCGGTATTTGGGAGCGTTCTAGGTGGCGAGGCGCGATCGTTTCATATCACAATGTCGACAGGCCCACGATGGAAGGCCCGGCGTCGTTTACTCCAAGATCTGATGGCACCTAAATCTCTTCACAAGGTCGCAATCCCAAATATTTACAGAAGCGCAACTCTACTTCTCGATCTCTGGAAGAACAAAGCAGAGTTGCTGACGGAAAGCCTTTTCTAGCAGAGCACGACGTCTTCAACAAATGATAGAGCCGTACATTTTCCTATTGCCACCGTCCACCCTGCCCTTGATGCTGTGTTACATACTATAGATAATGTCCAGTTGGTGGCTGCGACTGGGTTCCCTCGACTTGCATGGCTAATTTTTGAACTTCTTCCACACATCCGCCGTAGAAGGAAAGTACGAGACGAGTTGATTGTAAACCAGGTTTTGCACGCGTTGGATCGATTCAACACCCTTAGCAAGCAACACGACGACGATACGCATGTCAAATCAGCAGTTACACAGAGGGATAGCAGTCTTGCTTCAAATTGGTTAGAGATGATGAGAAATGAGATGAAATGCTCTTCAAATCAAGGTCTCCAACTACTCGCTTGCTACCCGTTGCACTTATATCATTGGGTTTGTTGTTGCTGGCCATGATAAAACGAGCACGACGATGCGCTGGATTTTCAAGTTTATATCAGATAACCCTGATGTTCAAAAGAAACTTTTCGAAAGCCTTCGCAGTTTCCATGCAGCTGCTGTCACTGAGGATCACCTCCCCACTCACAGCGAGATATGTAACGCAAGCATACCATATCTGGACGCCGTTGTCGAGGAATCGCTGCCTCTTAGCCACACCGCAATCTTTCAGGATCGGGAATGCACAGAGGATGCCATTATCCTAGGCCACTACATTCCGAAAGGTGCCCATACTATGATGATAAAAAAGGCCCCAGCTTCACAGAGCCAGGACTGGATATCGAAGAAAGTATCCGCAGTCCGACATGCCAAGCGGCAGCCCAAGAATACGGATTTCGAGCCTGGGATGAGAAGGGAATGGACGAGTTTTATCCTGAGCGTTGGCTTATGCTGGATGATAATGGCAGAGCGGAGTTCAATTCGGTAGTAGGGCCAACTCTCCCGTTTAGCCTTGGTCTTCGAGGATGTTTCGGAAGAAAGCTGGCGTGTTTGGAACTCAAAATGCTGACAACTCTTTTGGTTTGGAATTTTGAGCTTCAATGCTCACCGGAGGGGTTATCAAGCTATGAGAGCTTAGAGGGGCTAACACGCAAACCTTCGTAATGCTATGCACGCTTAAAGGCCCGTTCATCAGCATACTATGCAGCTTATTAACAGGGAATTCATGCGCTAACTGATAAGTAGATTTCCTCCAAAACAAACCTCAATCCTAAGATAGCGCAGCGAAAGGAATTACCCTTGTCCTCGAACTGTATTTGAGCCCTTTTCACGATTACTTCCTCTTATTAGGCCAGACATTCCATCTTGCTGGTCGTGAAGTCTTTCATTTTTCTCTTTATGCGTCCTACTTTGCTATCGTGTGTCTGTACTTCATTAGTTGTAGTGTACTACTTTGTTCTATAGTAGTTGACTCTAGCCTTTTTTCAAGGGATGTAAAAGTATAGCCATAAGTATCGAGACTATTATCCAAAATCTGGTACAGTTAGATGCATTTAGTGAGTAGGTAAATTGGACAGTCAGCGCCGAGTTAATGCCGATACATCAGCGTTGATTACGTACTAATACAGTGTTATCTGATGAAATTTATCTTTCCCCGCCATAGACCCGAGACTGCACCACTACGGCTTATTGTCCTGCAACGCGTTCTTTATCGCGCATTCCTACCTACCTAAACTTCAATTTCGCTCTGATGAATAGAACGTATGCTTTCTACTCGGGACACGACTGTCCTTTGTCTTGCGAAACGACAATCAACTACGTGACCTTTAACGATAGCAACCCTCTACTGCCTTGGAAAGTAAACGCATGTCGCAGCGACTTGCGCATTACGTCTCTGTATCTGTGCTTCGATGAATTCTGCCAACGAGATGGCGCAATCGCGAATTGGATAGAGACTCAAAGTCTCTGGTGCTCTCACAATGCAAACGTCACATTACCTTCCCTGCAACACGTTTTGGATCAATGGTCACCCGAGGCTAGGAACAAGGTGGAGAGATTATCTGCCACCGACGCCCTCGAGTTCCCATCCCTGAACCACCTGGTGATACCTGAACATCACCTTTTTGAGCGAGCATACACCACCGTGGTACGGTATCCACCTTTCAGGGCGAAGAGGGCCGTGTAATGCTGATGCGTTTGTAACACAGGAAACTGCTAACTGGGAGTACAAAATACATCTTGTATACGGGTAAATGATCCATCTTACATCCCAAGTACAGTAGCTGACAGAGGTCTCCAGGTGGTACATGTATTACTTTTGGATCATAGTAGTTCTTTTTGGAGTCGCGAATCGTCTCTTATCGTTTGTCTACAAGCGTCGATGTACGGAAACGCCCTACATGAGACTCCCTGGAATCCAAGAAGACTCTACTCGAAACATGCGCACTGTCTCTGTTTCCATCATATCCTGGTTGCGGCGCAATCTCACAATACCAGCTGCATTCGGCAATCGCTGTGCGCGGCCCTATGGCTGGTGCACCATACCTCCTCGGATCCAATCGCTTACCATTTTTCTGTTTGTTGTATTCAATATAGCAGTTTGCAGCTGCTCTTATCGACTTACTGAAGGGAACCTCTACTGGCCAGAGAAGTCTGCACAGCTACTTCGCTTCGTGTCAGATCGAACTGGCATTATATCTCTCGCCAATTTCCCTTTGCTCTGGCTATTTGGGATGCGTAATGATGTTCTCATTTGGATGACCGGGTGGGGATTTGGAACGTATAATGCGTTCCATAGATGGGTTGCAAGAGTTGCAACTGTACAGGCCGTATTGCATAGTGTGGGATACACGGCGATGATCCTGTCGAGTGGAGGTTGGCCAAGCTTTTCCCAGTACTGGAAAGAACACTACTTTTGGAATGGCGAAATTGCAACTATTGCGATGTGTGCGCTTATCGTCTTTTCAGTGTATTCCATTCGCCGCCAACACTACGATTTCTTCTTGGTCACACACATTGCGCTTTCTGTCGCAGTGTTATGGACCATGTATTACCACGTCGAGATTTTCACCGCCGGAGAGTGGAACATATTTATATGGCCTTGCGCTGCATTTTGGATCCTCGACCGTGCTTTGCGTCTTGCTCGGATCTTCGCATTCAACCGTAGACCGCTTAGCACTAGTGGCAAAGCGACTTATGATGCATGCAGCAACCTCGTACGTCTGGATGTGGACGGCAGCAAGAGTTTATTAGCTGCTCGACCAGGGTCGTACTATTATGTCCATGTTCTTGATGACATGCGGTATGCTCATCAGAGTCACCCATTCACGCTGGCCTTCGTTTCGCCTGATGCGACATCATCAACGATCACACCTCTAACGCCTCTATCACCTAGCCTTGGAAATACAGAAGATCCACCAGATTCCTCAACTGAGTCGGATACACTCTTGTCAAACAACGTACCAAAAGTTTCGTCTAATTTGGTGTTTCTAATCCGACCTTACAATGGGCTCACGTCTCGATTGAAATCAAGTTGCCTGTTACATCCAAGAAAGATCCGAGTTCTTGTCGATGGTCCGTATGGCCATGTTGCTCCTCTGCGTACCTTTGCGAATGTGTTGTTTGTAGTCGGGGGTACGGGGATCGCGATACCGCTATCGCATCTCAGTGGACTTGTCACCGGTTCATCACAGGTCTTGCACATAAAGATAGTATGGGCAGTTCGTGAACGTGCATTCCTCACCACACTACTCCGTGACTTTCACAGCGTGTTGGGCAACAAGAGGGTTGATATGGAGATACATGTCACGAGGGATGTTGGCCATGACGACGAAATCCTTGACAAAGACCTCAAGAATGTCAGGATCGCGACCCAAAGACCCAATGTGTACCAGGTTGTGAAGGAAGCAGCAGAGAATGCACGTCGAGAATCACTAGCTGTTGTTTGCTGTGGACCAGCACTTATGGCTGATCAAGCGAGGAGGGCCAGTGTACAGATGTTAGGCATGGGCCATACGGGTATAGAGTACTTTGAAGAAAGCTTCAAATGGTAGAAAAATCCGTACCTACAAGGCGGCACGCTCCTTTGATGAGACGTCACATTAAGCTTCGTTCTCTTTCAGGGTAACATACCACTGCGCTACTTCCTTAACGCTCTCGTTCAATCCCCTAATGTTGTCGCCTTGAAGGAGTAACTTTTCAGTGAGCCTCGACTCGGCACGAAACGGCATGTTGATAGGTACTTTGCCTCGCCCAACCTTAAACAACCCTGATTGTACCTGGCTTGGGAAGTCTTTCTCAACCATATCTGCAGCTGCATTCCAGATATTCTCACCATCTAAGCCCTCTTGCACTGTCCCAGCAGCAACAAACCACTTTGGAAGATGTTTGCTTTCCACCTTGACCTCGTCCAAAGCCTCGATGTGCACCTTTGCACAGTCTTGCACGTGCACGAACCCAAATGCATATCGCGGAGCCACGCTGTCAAAAAGTAGCGCTTTACTCTGCCGATCGAGGTGAGCATAAGCTTCAGCAGAGGTGCGACAGAATTCGGAAGGGCCAATGACAGTTCCCGGAATGACTTGGGCAATGGAGAAGGGCTGCTTTCCACTGGCCTGGAGATCTGCAAGGAACGCCATACATTGAGCTTTCCCAGCGCAGTATGCGTGGTGAGGTGATTCTAACGGCGGTCTATACTTGAGTGAAGTCGGTGACACTTGTACATGCTCTGCACGGCTCAGTGAGAGAACAATTGGAGAAAACAGCTACGGGGAGGAATTTACCGTCCATTGTACGATGCATACGTGTGCCCAGTGTGTCCCCATCAGCTGCATCAACCAAACCTGCACCGGCTTGAGTGAAGACAATTCTCTTCACTGTGACAGAGTTTTGTGCAGCCTTGATCAAGCTCTTGGTTGAGTTAATGAACGGGCTGTATATGTCCGTGTCTGGGTGCAGATGCGGCAGCGGCCACACACCGGCTACATGCACAACGTAATCTGCACCGGCAACGGCTTCGTCATATGCACCATCGACCGTGTTGTCCAGAACAATACAGAATTCAAGAAGACTGAGGTACGGTTGAACAGAAGGCCCGGATTTAATAGTTTCAATGGCTGATGGGCGGCGTACAACGCAACGCACGCGATATCCTGTTTGAAGGGCATACACGACGCAAGCGTAGCCTATAGTTCCATTCGCACCTGTTATCTGCGAACCATGTCAGCTATGCAAAGCTCATAGGGCGCATTAAAGAAGGCGACATACGGCCACAAGGCCACGGTCTCCATCCAACATGTTGACGCGGCTGCAAAAATGATTGGCTCGCTAATGCAATGAATGATGGTCCTAGCGAAATCAATGTTAAAGCAATACTGATTTTTTTTTCTTCGTACGTAAGATGATCTGTAAGATAATAGTCTCCAAAGCCTTTTGCTGTTGAAGAGCAAATTTTTAGGCTAGTAGCGTCATACAGTATGTCGCTCGTACATGCATGTGGGGCTGATTATGAGCACATAGCACTATTGATATTGCCATGGATAATTTTAAGCCGAGGCAGTTGGCGACACTAACCGGTGGGGGATAAATAGATAATCTTGATCTTCCGATTATATTTCAATTGGGGGGTGGCGGGGGGTTATGGCGGGGTGGACATGGGGTCTTCGTTTTTGGCGCTCCCCACGTTGTCACCTAGATCTGCCGAAAACCAGTACTAAGTGGGGAAATGCATTAGGAGTACCTTTATGATATTCAAAGCATGCTAGATGCAAAATAATGGTGTATAGCTGCGATCTAGCATATCTGCTCGAATTTGGAGTTTCAGGCGGCAAAAGGGAGGTATGAGTGGCATAAGGCTCCAGCAACGATGTATTTGATCCATGGCTGGATGAAGCTTTTGAGTCGACAGATGTTAGCAATAAAATGTCTCGAAACAGGATGTGATTCTAGAGATATTAATCAGGATGTGGGAAGACATTACACTTGCATTCGTCGAGTTCTACATACGACTCAACTCGACAGGCGGCTGTTTCGTGTCTTCCAGTGTCGTATGAACATGGTCACGCCTACACACGCGATGGGCTTATCCTACTCGGCGGTACATCCTGGTATACCAACATACGTCTGTACAGCAGCATATTCAGTTTATTCGTATTCAATAGATCAAC